TATCCAATAATCACTACACAGCTTTCTCTTGAAACCGAGTTAAATACTGATTACGCTTTCTTATGAAGGAATTTATTGAGTTTATTTTGCTGTGAATCAAATTAATCGAAATTAGTTACAAATCATCACCAAATTATTTACCCTGCACCGGAACCTAGAATCGAACTCCAGACGACCTCATTGGCAAACGTTGACACTACCAACTGTGCTACACCAACACTTTGAACTTATGTAAACAAATCAACATTCCCTTCTACAACAAAATCGCTGAGTAGAAACTTTATAATAGTACACATGAATCAATTTTCTCGACTAGTTATAAAAGAGCAGAGTAAAAGCTGTTAAACTGCACACGTCTAAAAATAAACCTAGTTGACTGTGAAAATGCTTCCGAATTTGCTCTAACACAGTTTATAAGCTGAGTACAGGTTGTTTAGTTGTTGAAAAAGCACTTTTGATGTTTATGTTATTCAGCAAGAGTGGTTGGTTGTGTAGAAGCCATCTAATGAGTAATATATTCACTTTGTTAGCTTTGTTTTGCAGCTACAAGTTGAAAGTTGGGTAGTGTGTGTATATAAGTGACATTAGCGTTTATTGGCTGATGTTATTCAGTGCGACTGACAAATTGAATAATGGTTGTGAGAAAGTTGAGTAAACGCTCTCCAAAACTATTTTGCTAGCTTTTGCTTGTAGCTGTATCTGCAGCTTCTTTTCAGCAACTTTACAGCACAATGCTGGAAAAATTGGCTTACAAAGCTGAAAATGTTAGTTGGGATGACTGCTCTTAAATTGGAATTTTTACAGAAATCATCAATTGACATGATTACTGATATGTTGTCGTCGGTGATCTTAACGCTCAGGTCGGCCAGGAGGAGGAATTCAAACCGGTAATAGGAAAGTTCAGCGCTCACCAGCTAACGAACTCCAACGGCCTTAGACTCATCGACTCAGCATAGCCTCCCATATCGGTACACCTGGAGATCACCGCAGCAGATAGAATCGCAAATCGACCACGTTTTGATCGACGGAAGACACTTCTCGGACATTATCGACGTCAGGACCTATCGCGGCGCAAATATCGATTCGGACCACTACCTTCTAATGGTCAATGTGCGCCAAAAACTTTCCGTTGCCAACAACATTCGGTACCGACGCCCGTCATGGTACAATCTGGAGCGACTGAAGCTGCCCGAAGTCGCAACTGAGTACGTGCAATGCCTCGACGCAGCGTTGTCGGATGAGGGAGAGCCGGATGAAGCCCCTCTTGAGAACAGATGGAGCAACGTAAAAGCAGTCATTAACAGCGCTGCTGTAGGCGCCGTTGGGTTCGTGGAGCGGAAACGACGGAACGATTGGTTCGACAAAGAGTGTCAGACGGTTTTGGACGAGAAGAACGCAGCGTGGGCGACGATGCTGCAGCAAGGAACCCGTCATAATGTGGAGCGATATAAACAGAAGCGAAGACATTTGCACCCATCTTTTCCGGGATAAGAAGCGCCGCCTGAAAGAGCTGGAGTGCGAAGAAATGGAGCAGCTGTAGCGTTCTCACGAAGTTCTACAAGAAATTCAACGCATCCCGCAAAGGCTTTGTGCCGCGAGCCGAAATGTGTCGGGATAAGGAAGGGGGTATCTTAACGGACGAACTTGAGGTGATTGAAAGGTGGAAGCAGCACTACGAGATGAACATCTGAACGGCGCAGAGGCGGAGGATCAAGGCAGCAGGAGGAATGGCTTCGTCGGTACAGCGGATGCGGGGGACATGCCAGCTCCCACGATAGGTAAAGTTAAGGATGCTATCCGACAGCTTAAGAAAGATGGTATCGAAGCGGAACTTATCAAAATGGGCCCGGATAAGTTGGCCACTTGTCTGCAGCGACTGATAGTCAGGATCTGGGATACAGAACAGCTACCGGAGGAGTGGAAAGAGGGAGTAATATGCCCAGTATATAAAAAGGCGACAAACTAGAATGTGAGAACTATCGAGCGATCACTATTCTTAACGCGGCCTACAAAGTGCTTTCCCAGATCATCTTTCGCCGTTTATTGCCGCTAGCAAGCAGATTTGTGGGAAGTTATCGACCCGGTTTTGTGAACGGGCGATCGACAACGGACCAAATCTTTACGTTGCGGCAGATCCTCCAAAAGTGTTGTGAATATCAACGCACCACCTATTCATCGATTTCAAGGCCGCTTATGATACTATTGACCGCGAAGAGCTATGGAAGACTATGGACGAGAACGGTTTTCCCGGGAAGCTGACCAGACTGATCAGGGCTACGATGGATGTTGTACAGTGTACAGTGAAGCTATCGGGTGTGTTATCAGACTCGTTTGAAACTCGCAAAAGATTTCGACATCACGATGGTCTTTCCTGCCTCCTGTTCAACATTGCGCTAGAAGGTGTTATGAAACGTGCAGGCTTTAACATGCGGGGAACGATCTTCAATAAATCCAGCCAGTTCATCTGCTTCGCTGACGACGTGGACATTGTCGGAAGAACGTTTCAGGCCGTGGCGGAGCAGTACAGCTGAAACGTGGAGCAGAGAAGGTTGGTTTAAAGGTAAATACGTCGAAGATAAAGTATCTGTTAGCTGGAGGAACCGAGCGGGATAGGGGTCCCACAGGCAGAAGCGTGACAATCGACGGAGATGAGTTCGAGGTGGTCGATGAATTTGTGTACCTCGGGTCATTGGTGACGTCGGATAACAACGGCGTATTATTGCCGGAAGTCGTGCTTACTACGGACTCTACAAGAAACTGAGGTCGGGTAAACTTCACCTCCGTATAAAATGTACCATGTACAAGGCACTGATAAGACCGGTAGTTCTCTAGGGGCACGAGACGTGGACGATGTTCGAGGAAGACCTGCAAGCACTGGGTGTTTTCGAACGACGAGTGCTTAGGACCATCTTTGGCGGGGTATGTGAGAACGGTGTATGGAGGCGAAGGATGAACCACGAGCTGGCGCAACTAGATGGCGAACCCTGTATCCAGAAACTTGCGAAAGCTGGACGGGTACGATGGGTGGGACACGTTTTAAGAATGCCGGACAACAATCCCGCAAAAATGGTGTTTGCCTCGAATCCGGCCGGTACAAGACAAAGATGAGCACAGCGAGCAAGGTGGTTAGACCAAGTGGAGCAAGATCTAGGAAGTGTAGGGCGGTCAAGAAATTGGAGACAACCAGCCACGGACCGAGTGAATTGGCGTAACATTTTGATGCAAGTGCAATCCTGAGGGATGTCGGACCAGGATAACTAAGTACTGATATGTTGAAAACTAACTTCACATTTGATGTCACATATTCAAATTGGAGTAAAATTTGCGGCATGACTTTGAAATTCAGTAATGGATTTTAAATCATTTAATATTTTGAATTGGAATACTCGATCTATAAAAAATAATGAGGACAAAGTATTTAACTTTTTGAGCGTTCATAACATGCATATTGCTGTTAAAACTGAAAAGTTCTTTAAACCTGACCATAAGTTTAACTGATACTCAAATTATTTTATTTATAGAAATGATCGTCTTGATGGAGCCTGTTGGGCGTTGCCATTATTGTTCATAAACGAATCAAACATAAAATGCTTGCTTCATTAGAAACCAAAGTTTTTTTAAACTTTGGGAGTTTCTGTCAAAACACAATTTGAACAACTTACGTTTTTAGCTGCCTATTTGCCATTTCAATCGTAGGCCAGCAAAATAATTCGTAAAAAGCTCAGCAACTTGCTAAGCAATTCTAGAGCTCCCATAATTTCAGTTTGGGTCTGATTAGTCCTATTTAGAATAAGGTTGCTCGGGATTATCTGAAAATTTTCTAGCGGGAAATTTTTTTTTGATGATTGCTGGGGGACCGATTTGGACGAATTAAGATCTATAGATAAAAAAAAAAATCAAAAATATGAAAGCTCCAGGTGATGATGGAGTTATTAATATACTCGTCAAAAGAAAACTCCCAGAGAGCACCTTTTCTTTCTTGGTATAATTATTTAATAGATGTCTTCATTTGGCATACTTTTCTAATAAATGCAATAAAATGGGAAAATGCAAAAGTTGTTCCAATTTTGAAGCCGGATAAAAATCCAGCTGATACGTCTAGCTACCATCTAATAAGTTTGCTTTCTTCAATAAGTAAACATTTAAAAAGATAATTTTGAAAAGAATGATGCTTCACATTAATACGAACCCAGTTCTTGCAAATGAGCAGTTTGGATTTCGCCACGGGCATTCAACTACTCATCAACTCTTAAGAGGTACCAATTTAATTCGTTCAAACAAATCTGAAGGCTGCACAACTGGAGTTGATCTCCTAGACACAGATAAGCAGCTTGGGCTTCTGGAACGTATCACCTTAATGTATGTTTCTGTTGACATGTTTATTATGGCTCATATTGTATTGTACTTTGTAATTCAGAAATGATGTAATTTTGTAGTCTAGAAATGATATGGGGGTTTTAACAACCTGCATGAGTAAACCAATCCTACAAGGACAGGCTTTTCTCCTTCAAGCTTCATTTAGACAATAATAGTTGGATGATGAAAATAAATAAAAATTATTTTAATCAATAAACATTTTTTTAATGTTGGCCCAATGTCACCCCATCTTACGATATACTACAATTTTACAAAACCATGAGTGGTACAGATAGACTGAGAATAGGTGGAAGTTTTTGTTTGACAAAAAAAAAACACTTTTCCAATGTTGGCGTGACTGAAAGGCCAATGTCAACGCATGTACATATTAAGAAATATGTTTATCTGATGACAGAGTTTAACATTTTGAACAGACCTTCTTCATAGTAGATGTGTATGAACATCAAGAAGAACAGGTTTTCCAATTCACCTTTCACCTTCACTCATATTCCGGAACGCCTGAAATTCACACTTCCTCAACCACTTGTTCTTGAACAAGTTTCATTCCTTCCCAAAACCAGAATCCACTGGCATCCGGGAAGCCCAAAACGGAACCGATAATTATAATTGTCAACATTACTTACAAGATTGTGCAGCGATCATCGTCGTCAGCAGCATGAGCACACTAGCAATAGGCTTCCACATGATTGCAGCGGTTCTGAACTGTTTCTGTACTCCTTCGAACTGATCGTCACGCACTGACTCAATCACTGAGAAAAACACACTGTGGTTCCTCAAAGCAAATTACGTCTGATCGTTATCACGTACGCTTGCGGCACCAAAAACTGAATGCACCACCGCAATTGGTTCCGTAGTCCGTAGTTGGTTGGGACACACGCGGAACACCCACCACCGTCGGTGAACTTTTCTGATTCAATTAGCACGTTCCACACAACGCACAACCAACAGGCACATACGCACAAAACGGAACAAATTTGCACTCCGGGACGGACGGGGAAGCTGTCAGTTCTGACACTTTTGCTTTCGATGGCCACTCACTTCGAGACTTAAATTGCCCTTTTATTTGCTTTTACTCTTCCCGAGCCGGTATGAAGTGGTAGAAACGATTTATACTTTTGCTTTCCGAGTCTCCTATCGTTCACCAACAAGCATTGATTGGATCTTCCGGTTTTGGTTTGATGGTGTAGTTATACGATTTTTCGGTTTCTGACTCGGGGCGATACCCGTTGGCTACCAGCTCGTATTGACGTCTGCTCGTGGATCGCGGCAGGTTGGCTCTTTTAATGAATTTTTATCGCATAGCAGCGTGTATCGCCCAGTGCGTTCGTTCGGTCGCAGAATGTGGCAGTGGCACGTTGAGGTAAGATAAGTAGTAGCACGATCGCGGATCATTGGCTAGAAGTGCGTTCGATGTTGGTTGAAGAGTTCTGAGCAGCAGCGGTTGATGCAACGCAACATGAGCCAGCGATTGTTGCACGGCATGGGTCGTATGCGAATGTTGCACGATTGAGTATTGTGGAATGTTTGAACGTATTTGAATTCATAGAGAATCGATGTAGTAAACTTTTAGTTTTAGAACAAAATTGAATAAAGAATATAAATAGAGAGAGAGAGAGAGAAGAATTAGTCATTTCCATTTAATTCCACTACCTTATTTGCTTATCTTGACAGATACGCGTATTTCTTCTACAATGTGCAGACATCTTCAGTGTCTTGTACTAATAAAAATAAACACGAACCTTATTTTATTTCGCTGTGGGGTGATACATTTTTTATCTTGCATAATAAGTGGGGAGAAGAGGGTGTTAGATTCTATGACACGCAAAGAATTAGATATAGGAAAAACCAATTTTCTTATTTTGCTCCCTGATTTCAGAAGATGGTTCTGCTATTATCGATCATGTTGATAATGATGATGTTGTTGCTATTGAAATATATTTGTGATTACATTAGACGCTGTGTTTAAGATCTATCTTCTACAAATAACGTTTGCAAGTAGACTAGGGTGTTGCTTGACAAATAAAAATCTTTTTTTGGAGACTCTATATGTGAAATGTGAGCACAAATGTGCTTGTCGATGAATGCCATTCGATAAGGTTAGTTCTCCAGTTTAATCAATGGTGTTAAACACAAAACCATGATGCCTCTCGGGTTTTTGTCTTCAGGGTAGAAGAGTAGAGGAATAGATAGAATTTCGAATTTTAACGCTGTTAGTAAAGTCAATATCTTTTACTGCACATCCAGTATAATCGATTAAATACCGTGCGTTTTTCTCCGCTCGATCAATTGATCTTCGGATATAGTCATAATTTTGTCGTCCAAAAATTGGAGCTGAACGAGCTCTAGATTGCTACCTAAGCAGACTTTGAAACTTTCGATTAGAAAAACATCAGCGCTCAACAGTGTTACACAGTTATATAATATGTTTTGTATCATACGTATCAGCGTGTGCCTTAACGTGCCGAACAGTGTGCCATAGTGTGTTTCGGCACAATGTTTAGAGTTGATTCCCCCTCGGGATGACTCCAAAACAGGAGAAAACAGGTTGCTGAGCAACAATCAAACTTAATGTGTAAACATGTCAGTACTTTTCACACTAATAATAATAAATAAATAATAATTTACAGCTGAATTTCAACGTACACCCATTTTTTTTTTAAATCGGCGACAGATCGACGAGTACACGCTGGGAATTATGGAAATATCAATTCTGCTTAAAATCGCACGCACTCACGAATCAGTGAAATCGCAGCTGCAAGAACTTCCAGGGAAATCCGTTCCTTTGGCTGAACTTAATGCGGTAGGTGAAGTGGGTAACGATTTGAAAAAAAGGAAGGATTTCCTGCTCCAGGTGCATGGGAAACCATTTTTTCAATGATGCTCGTTGTTCTGCGAAAGCTTCTCGTTGCTGCAAATGTGGCAAACTGGGACATTATGCGCGGTGTTGTAAAACACCACATTTCCGAACAAGCGGAAACCGATCAGCTCAGAAAGCTGGTTTCAACATAATTCAGAATCATTATGACCGGAAGGAGAAATTCTTGCGTGAAGTGGATGATGTGACGAATACTGCACACTTAGAAATACCTAATTTTACACGTGACGGAATCCATCTTTGACATAAAGGATGAGACGTAAACAAACATGTCATGTAAAATTAAGTGCTCCGAGACTGAAAAGTTCGGTACTCGACGAAAAGTACGTTTGATTGAGCTGAGTTTTGCGTCTATTACGACTCAATTTTATGTCAAAAATGACGCTCGTATATGTCAGTCTCAGAGCACCTAAATTTACATGAATTTTTTTAAGTGTGTGTGGAAATTCGTGAGCTTTTCATCTTGAAGGCAAACGTACTGCGGAAGCTAAAATCGAAGGAGTAGGTGTTCGTTTCGTCATTGATACCGGAAGTGATGAAGATGTGTTGATCGTTGATGATTGGAAAAAACCTGTAACGTGTTGGGTTCAACGCTTTTGACGTTATGAAAAGAAGTGAACAAGTTTTTCGTGCGTATGGATCCATGAAGCCATTGACCGTTCGAAGGGAAGTGGATGCTCGGGTTGCTGCAGGTGGGAAATATTTCGATACAACGATCTTCGAAATGCATGATGGAAAATGCTCGTTGCTTTCTTGTAATACCGCAGAAGCTCTCGGAATCATTTAATTTCTACATGCAGTAACTGATGAAGTGCTACCCTGTATTATTTGTTTTGTATTACTTCTGCGTGAGGTCAACGATTTACATAGTTGAAGATGCTAATTTCAAATAACAGACTAGAGTGGTAATTTTTATACGATAGATGAGGAGATGAAAGTATATAGTTGATGCTTTCCTTCAGATAACAACTTGAGTGCGGTAAAAATCGATAGAACTGATTCAAACACATCGTCGGTACATAAGCGTTTCGGTGATCATCTCTTTTTACCAGTGGTGCTCACCATCCTTCTCCAACGGCAGTTAGACTTTTGTGATTGTGTTTACATTATCAATTTATCTAATTCAGAACCAGAATCTTTCGCAAAACTCTCGGAAATAGATAATCTCTTTCCAATTGGGACGTCTCCCAAAAGCACACAACACAACGCATTATTAGCACCAGAATAAAATGAAACGGACTCACCAAATCGATCCATGAACGATGTCTTGTTAGGGTGATCTGTATACTCAAGGGTTGGTTGACTGGGCTTGAAAATAAGTTTTCCTATTCTTAGTATCGGACAAGCGACCCAAAAATCCTGCATGGCCAATCAGTTGATCGGCCAGATGATGACAGCACAATTGTGGTTGAATGGATTCAGGCTGTTAATCGGAGAATCTGACTACTATCACCGCTAGGTACTGTTCCTCATGGTAATCGACGAGGTCGTGGTGGGTGTAATTGACCGTGTACCGAACCGTGGGCTTTTTTGACAGCCTATCAGCATGGAGCATCTCAACGACTTCGATTTGGCTGATGATGTTGCTCTACTAGCACAACGGCGCTTTTTTTTTTTTATCTAGTTCGTTTATTTGGAAGGCTCAATCGCGTTAGCTTTACGGAGCCGATAATTCATTGTTCACTGTGTGTAACAAGATTCACTTAATTCTATGTCTAGTAGGAGTTGGGCCGATTACTCGCGGCTTACTCGAGGTTAGAAGGGTACATTTTCGAAGGATAGGATCAGGGGAGGAGCTTGGGGTAGGGTTTCGTTGTCTCATCAGAGCGTTGTCGCCAGTATGAACGGTAGTGCTGTTCTAGCTTCGTCCGGAGTTCGACCGGCTATGGTGGGTGACCAGTGGGCGACGATGAGACTCATCGAGACGGGGGGACAAGACAAACAAAAACTAATAAAGAGAGACAAAAGACAAAAGAAATTAAATTCTTATACTAGACATTTGAAGAAAAACATAAACGGACTGCATATAGCAGAGATCACGGGTTGCCAACACGTCTCTGATAGGAACATAGGGTTGTCTTCCTTGGGCCTCGAGGGTATTCAAAAGTCGCTCTCTGGCGGCGTCATTATCCGTACATTGCCAAACTGCGTGTTCGATGTCATCGTAACCGTTTCCACACCGACAGATGTTGCTGTCCACGAGGTTTATTCTATTGAGATGAGCATCTAGCGAGTAGTGGTTGGACATAAGTCTACTCATCACGCGAATGAAGTCACGACTTAAGCCCAAGCCTTTAAACCACGCTCTCGAAGAAACATTAGGAATAATTGAATGTAACCACCGTCCAAGATTTCCAGTGTCCCAATCGGTTTGCCAACTCGAAAAGGTACTCTGTCGCACTAAATGGTAAAATTCTTCGTGTGAAATTTGCCTGTCATACAATTCGCCTTCCTGCGCGCCCACCTTTGCGAGAGAGTCCGCCTTCTCATTGCCTGGGATTGAGCAATGTGAGGGGACCCATACAAAGGTAATCATATATGATCTTTCGACCAGCACACACATCTGCTCCCTTACCTTTGAAAGGAAATAAGATGAGTGCCTACTTGGTTTCATCGACCGAATAGCCTCAATCGAACTGAGACTATCCGAGAAGATGAAGTAATGGTCTGTGTGCATATTGGAAATCATCCCCAATGCGAAGTTGATTGCTGCCAGCTCAGCAACAAAAACGGAACAAGGTTCCTGAAGTTTGCGGAAGGCGCTAGAGTTTTCATTGAAGACACCGAAGCCAGTGGATCCATTGAGACGGGACCCGTCTGTAAAATATCTTTTCATGCAATTGACTTGTTGGTAC